AATTCAATTCCCATCCCCCTGGGCATTTTGAGATCTCTGTGTGCCCTTTGCCTTCCTCTGGGATGGGGGTTTGGCTGCAGTCAGAGCCACAGCCCCACAGTGCCCCCACGGCTCTCCCTTGTTCTGTACAGCTGCCTTGTCCCTACAGCCCCCCACCAGCACTGGATCTGAGCCTTGGGGCTCTCCCCACTGTTTTACCTTTTTTTTTCAGCCACTCTCTTTTTGCCAGGCTGCATCCTGAGAATCCACAAACCTCCTAAGAGGCTCTCCTCATAAAGGCCATGTCCTCATAAACCCCAAAAACACTGCTGCCTAAAAGGCTGCAGAGGAAAAAAGACTCCAGGCCCAACTACGTAGGAGGTCAGACACGCTGCAGAGGTTTTCATGAGGCTCCAGGAATACAAAGTCACCCACGTACCTTCCAACGCAGGGGTTACAGTTTTTATAATGATTTCCACCCAAGGCCCGGCCCGTCCCCGCCCCGGTTCTGCCCCACTCTGCCCCAGGAACGCCCGTGGGGAATTGAGTCTGGGGGAGTTTGGAGCTTTGAGCCGCTGCAACTACAACTCCCGGCGTGCCCCGCGCGGAAAAGGGGGCGGGGCCGGCTCTCCGCCGGCGGTGCGCGCGCACAGCCCCGCGGTGGCTGCCGGGAAAGCGATGGCGGCGACAACGGAATCTGCTCAGCACGATGAGCCCTGGCGGGGGCTGCGGCGGGGCTGGGGATGCACTCGGGGGCTGCGGGGAGCGCGGCTGTGGGCGGAAAGGCTGGAGGGCTCGGCAGAGTGGAGAGGAGGGGCTCGGGGGTTCCCGAGGAGGTTTCGAGGTCCGTGAGGGGCTCTCGGGGGGTCGCGGAGGGGATTTGGTGTCCTGAGGGCGCTCAGAGGGGAGGGTGAAGGTGCCTGAAGGGGTTTAGGGGGTCCCTGGAAGGGCTGGGGGCCTCGGAACCCTTCTGGGGGGGGCTGTTTAAATGCCATGGCTGCACTGCGCAGGCGCCCGCGGAGTTTCCACAAGGGAACTCTAACTCCCATAAGGCCTCGCGCGGCGCCGCCATTTCTGCTCGTGCCACAGCGCCCCCTGCCGGCTGGGCGGACCGACCGCAGGGAAAGCGGGTCCTGAAGCCCCCCCCGAACCCCAGAGACCTCCAAAACTCAGCACACAGAGACCCCACAGGGAGGGGGACTCAGGGGGTCCCTAAAGCCTATCAGTGGGGTTCAGGGGGTCCCCGAGCCCTCAGGGGAGGGGTCCTGGCAGTGCCACCCAAAGTCTTAGAAAGACATGAATCACATGCGGGTAAGGGTATCCCAGTGCCCCCACTATAGCCCAGTGACCTCCCAGTGGCTCTCAGTATGGCCCAATAACCCCCGCAGTGACCACGCAGTGTTTCCCAGTGACCTCCCACTGCCCCCCCGTATGGCCCAATGATCCTCCAGTGAGCACCCAGTAACCCCCAGTAAGGCCCAGTAACCTCCCAGTGTCCCCCTGTGTGTCCCGGTAGTCCCTCAATAACACCCCAGTCCCTCCCAGTGCCCCCTGGTTCCCCCAGTGTGTCCCAGTATCCCCCAGTAGTCACCCAGTGCCCCCCAAAGCCCCCTGAGTGTCCCCAGTGTGTCTCCACATTTCGTTGAATTTTCTGTGAGTGTGAAGGGGGAATGGGGGTTGGTCTGGGGTCAGAGGGTCCAGAGGGGGCTCCTGGGAGATGATAGAGGGTTGGAGACATTTGGGATGGGGTTTGGGGACAGTGGAATTGGGGGTGTCAAGGGAGGAATTGGGGCCATGGGGAGGCCCTGAGGACATTGGGGACACCAGGGGGGTCTCGGGACTCACCTTCTTGTGGTGCTGCCCCTCCTCTCCCACCCAGGTGCCCCTGAGCAATGGCCCGGAGGTGAGCCCAGAGCTGGCCCTGAGGTGGCCCTGAGAAGAAGTGGAAGGCAGAGGTGGTGCTGAGGCAGGAGAGCCCCGTGCTGGGGAAGAGGCTGAGCTGGGAGTGCCCAGCAGCGAGAAGGTGCTGTGTCCATGCCCTGTGTGCCAGGTGAGCTGGGGCTTTGCTGCAGAGCTGCGGGCGCTGATTGGAGCGGCTGCAGCTGCTGAGCTGGTGGCACCCAGGAACACAAAGTGTGCCCGGCCACGGAGCCTGCAGGGAGGAGCAGGGACAGCCCCAGGGGAGCTCTGGGGGGCCGGGAACCTCTTGGCTGGAGCAGGAAAGAGCCACTGGCCACGAGGATGGGGTGTTGGTCCCAGCCACTGGATGAGGCCAAGCAGAGCACGAGGCCTCTTGCAGACACCTGGAGCAGCCTCCCACTTGTCCCCTCCCTGCAGGACACTCCCCCTGAAATCCTTGGGGGGGCCTTTTATATTTATTGCTGGTTGCTGCTTCATACTGGGGACCTGAGGGCCCCTCTGCAATCCCATCCCTGGGGCACAATCTGCTCTCCAGAATAATCTGAGAAATCCAGTAAAGAAAGTGCCCAGAAGCTTTTGGTCTTTTGAGCAGCAAAGGTGTTTATTTGTCGAGGTCGGGAGCAGGCGGGGTTCGCACCACAAAGCTCTTGCTTGAAGGTATCGGTACAAAACAGGGTAATTTATACAGTGTAACTTCTATGATTACAACATCTTACAAACATATTCATTTGATTGCAACATCTAATCCTTCATGTTGATAATAGCTGGAGTACAGGCAGAGCTCAGGCTGAGCTTGGGGTGGAGCTTTTCTTGGCCCTCAGTTCTGGGGGTTCATCCCCCTTTCTTCATCATCATGGCTGGGGTCTCTGCAGTCTTCCTCAGTGTGACCCCTCTAACTTTCCACTGTCTTTGCCCCAGTCACTGAAGCTTGGAGAGAGCCTTGGCTTTAGGGCTATTTCTCTTATTCAAATGTCTCCCTTGGCTGACTTTGCCTTAATTTCTGGCCTGCAGACCCATTGGAGAATGTTTCCAACCTTCTTTAGATTATAAGGCCCAAGGAACGGAACAGAACAAATTTTTCTTTAGCAATTTAGGCAGAGCAGGTATGGGGGGGCTTCTCTCAGCTGAGCAAGATATTTCAAAGGTAATTCTTTAGGCCTTGCTCTCCTTTCAAGAGGGAATGTCTGGGAAGGCGGCACCCCAAAGGTGAGAGTCAGATGAGAAGGGACCCTTGGGACCACCAGCACTCCCAACATCCCTAAGTGGGACCCCCAACATCCCAGACAGTGGAGAAACTCTGAACCCCAGAGGGGGGAGACCAGAGAGGGGGAACTCCTGGAAGAGAAATTTTTGGGCTCATCTTCATAATTTGGAGTATATTTCAGCTGAATCTCAACTTTTTGCAATTTTGGGGGCGCATGTCTTCTTGCTATTTCTGAGGGGTTTTGCCTGAATCTTGGTGGTTTGGGTTTTTTCTGGGCTGAATCTTGGTGTTTTAGAGGTCCCCCAGAACCCTGAAGTTGAGAGATGGGGGAGCCTTGGGTTCCTGGGACCCCCAGCAGCCTGGAGAGGGCAGGGACCCTGTAGAGGGGAGACCCCGAATACACACGGGACTCCCAGCAGCCCAGACAGGGGGGACCTCCAGAATCCCAAAGTGGAGAGACCAGAGAGAAGAAGCTCCTGGCTGGGGTTATTTGGGCTGAGTCTTGGTGTTTTGGAGGTTTTTATGGTCCCAGGATGCCCAGTGAGTTCTAGAGATGGACTTGGGCAGGAGGAACCCCCAAGCCAATGCACTCAGCCCTTGTTTCCCCCCCAGCAGGATTTGTCCTTCCCAAAGCTTGGGCAGATGGAGGAGGCTGCGAGGAAGCTGCCGTGATCCCCCCAGGCAGGTGAGGAGGAAGTCAGTGCCCCTTTGGCCCTGTCTTGTGGTGCACATGGGGACCAGATCTGGGGGGGATGTGCTTGACCTTCCCTCTGGGCCGGAGGCAAATCCCCTGCCTGTCCTTCTTCCTTCCTGCCCCAGGCCCCGAGCTGAGGACGGAGAGCACAGAGGACGAATCCCCCCGGCAGAGCCTGGTGGGAGAGGCCGTTTTGAAGGGCTCCCCGGCGCAGGAAGGCAGCGGGGAGGAAAAGGCCCAGAGATGCCCCTGGAGGAGGGGCTGCAAAGCCAGCCCAGGGAGCTCTGAGGAGGAAAGACCCATCCTGTGCCAGGAAGGCGGCCGGAGCTTGAGCCGGAGCTCTGAGCTGTTGGTCCCTGAGCAGCCTCCCAGCAGGGAGAAGCCCTTCAGGTGCTTGGAATGTGGAAGAGCTTCAGGAAGAGCTCCAAGCTCCTCACCCACCTGCACTTCCACACTGGGGAACGGCCCTACACCTGTCGGGAATGTGGGAAGAGCTTCAGGCGGAGCTCCACCCTCAGGCAGCAGCACATCCACACTTGGGAACGGCCATACGAGTGTGGGGAATGTGGGAAGAGCTTTAGGCACAGCTCCACCATGATCAAACACCAGCGTCGAATCCACACTGGAGAAAGGCCCTACAAGTGCTTGGAATGTGGGAAGAGCTTCAGGGACAGCTCCAACCTGCTCCAACACCAGCGCATCCACACTGGGGAACGACCTTACACATGTGGGGGGTGTGGGAAGAGCTTCAGTGACAGCTCCAGCCGCCTCAGGCACCAGCTCATCCACACCGGTAAACAACCCTACAAGTGCTTGCAATGTGGGAAGAGGTTTCAGACGCAGCTCAACTCTCCTCGTGCATGAGCGGACACACACAGGGGAGAGGCCCTTCCGCTGCACCGACTGCGGGAAGGGCTTCAACCAGAATGGCCACCTCGTCAGGCACTGGCGCATCCACACCGGGGAGAGGCCCTACAAGTGTTGGAAGTGTGGGAAGAGCTTCACCCACAGGTCTACCTTGACCAAACACCAACGGACCCACCAGTAAGGGAAACCCCTACGAGTGCCCTGACTGTGGGAAGAGCTTTGGCCGCTGCTCCCACCCTGAATGACCCCCCTGATGGTGAGGCAACCCCTGGAGTCCAGTGACTGTCAGTCCATCCCTTTCCACCAGAAAGGGCCAGTCCCCTTTGCCAGGGGCAGGTTGTGCCAACAGAACCCTTCTTGGGGGTGTGTGAAGATTCCTACCTTGGGTGGGACCCCCCAAGGTCACTACTAGAGATTGAGAGCAGAGATCTCCCCCCGAGCGTTGGTCTGGGGGAGTTCCATCCATCTCTGATTCATAATTCTTGCTTCGGTGCCAGCTTGAGTAGAATTGCTTCAACAATTGCTTTAGTGTAGAGCATTGTCCTATCTTATGCTGTACTAGTGGTAGTTTTAGTGTTTCTATTGTGCAGTAAATAATTCTGAATGAAGATCTTTTGTCTGATCATTTGTAACCCTAAATAATTCATTTCTATCAATAGATCTGATTTGCCATGATTAAAACCTGGGGGACAAAAGTGGTTCAGTCCCACCTCTGTAGTTCCTCTAAACTGAACCTGTTGGCAAAACCTAAGGCTGAGATTGGATCCAGCAGCCCCAGCACCCCACAGTCAGTTGGGAGCTCAGAGGGGCACCCCCCTTTCCTACCCCTTTGTGCCCAAAGACCCCCATGGGACCATTGGACCCACTGGACCGTCCAGACCATTTCCCCTTTTCCACCCTTCTCCCGTTCCTCCCATCTTTCCATGGTCCCCTGCTACAATCTGCTTAAATATTGCAGAAAGAACTAGAGATTCAAATATTCCCTTGAGCAAAATAAAAACTCACACAAGTTATCTGTTGATACCAAAACCTGATTTTATTAATTGCTAAGAGGTGCAAAGAGAATGAGGAAAAAATAAGAAAAGGTTGGAAACTTCTAAGATTATTTCTAGAAGCAGAGAAAAAATACCACTGAAAAGTACCTTTCCCAGCTGAGCCGGTGAGCGTGGTAGAAGAGAAGCAGTTTCTGCCTTTTTTTCTCTGTCCCTGCAGCTTTTGGATGTTGTCTCTGTAGCTGCAGGGGGTCTGACAGCTTTAGTTCTCTGCAATGCACCATGTGTGGTTTCACCACTCATGCCCCTGTCCCAGGCCGTGCAGGGTCTCAGCTCAGCCGAAGCTTTGGGCCCTCAGAAATATGGTCAGGGTAGAAGGATAAGGTAGAACTCCCACATGTGGCACGGTGGTCTCAGCTCTCTCCAGGCCGGCACAGTTCCAGTCTCTGGTGGCAGGCAGGTGGCGGAGAAAAGGTGAGGGGAGGTGGGCAGAGATTCTCGGCTACAGTCACCAGTTCTTCTGCCTTTCTTCTCCCTGATTTTCCAAAATTTGCCCTCAACTTTTATAGTGTTCAAAGGAGGTTGAACGTGGTTTCTTGGCACGTAGCCAGTTCCGATGTTGGAGGAGATATGATAACCATAGACAATGGCAGGATCTTTTGGCAGGAAAGGTGCCATGGGAAGTCCTGGTGAGAACTTCCTTCAGAGAGCTGACAGAGAATGATAAGTTTTTGATAGGCAGAAACAATTTTTGGCATTTCTATATTATCTGTGTGTTACGGATGGTTGCCATGGTAAGCGACGTAACAGGAAATGCATAATGGTTGCCTTATTAACCGGCCCTAGCAATGCAAATGCACAATCTTTGCCATGGTAGCCGAGTTAACAATGAGAATGCACAATGGTTGCCATGGTAACCAGCAAAACAGTGAGACTGCATAACGGTTGCCATGGTAACCGAGGTCACAATGAGAATTCACAATGGTTGCCATGGAAACTGTTGTAATAATGGGAATTCACAATGGTTACCACAGTAAGTGATGTCAGAATGAGAATGCACAATTTTTACCATGGTAACCATCACAATGAGAATGCACAATGGTTTGCATGGTAAGCAACATCACAATGGTAATGCACAATGGTTGCCATGGTAACCGACTTAACAATGAGACTGCACAATGGTTGCCATGGTAACCGAGGTGACAATGAGAATACACAATGGTTGTCATGGTAACCGAGCTCACAATGAGAATTCACAATGTTTGGCATGGTAACTGATGTCACAATGAGAATGCACAATGGTTGTCATGGCAACTGGGGTTACAGTGGGAATGCACAATGGTTGCCATGCTATGCACAGTCACAATGAGAATGCACAATGTTTGTCATGGTAACAAAGTTCACAATGAAAATGCACAATGATTGCCATGGTAACCGAGGTCACAATAAGAATTCACAATGGTTGCCATGGAAACTGTTGTAATAATGGGAATTCACAATGGTTACCACAGTAAGTGATGTCAGAATGAGAATGCACAATTTTTACCATGGTAACCATCACAATGAGAATGCACAATGATTTGCATGGTAAGCAACATCACAACGGCAATGCACAATGGTTGCCATGGTAACCGAGGTGACAATGAGACTGCACAATGGTTGCCATGGTAACCGAGGTGACAATGATAATGCACAATGGTTGTCATGGTAACCGAGGTCACAATGAGAATGCACAATGGTTGTCATGGCAACCGGGGTTACAGTGGGAATGCACAATGGTTGCCATGCTATGCACAGTCACAATGAGAATGCACAATGGTTGTCATGGCAACTGGGGTTACAGTCGGAATGCACAATGGTTGCCATGATAACTGAGGTCAAAGTGGGAATACATAATGGTTTCCATGGCAACCGAGGTCACAATGGGAATGCACAAGGGTTGCCATGGCAACTGAGGTCAAAATGAGAAAGCATAATGGTTCCCATGGTAACCAGAAGTCACAATGAGAATGTACAATGGTAGCCATGATAACCAAGGTCACAATGAGAATGCACAATGGTTGCTGTGGTAAGATAGGTGATGATAGAAATGCACAATGGTTACCATGGTAATCATTTAAAAATGGGAATGCAGAATGATGGCCATGGTAACCGAGGTCACAATGAGAATGCAAAATGGTTGCCATGGCATCTGTGGTCATAATGGGAATGCACAATGGTTGCCATGGTAACGGAGGTCACAATGAGATTGCACAGTTGTTTCCATTGGAAGTGACATCACAATGAGAATGGACAATGGTTGCCATTGTAACCAACGTCACAATGAGAATGCTTAATTGTTGCCATGGTAACCACTGTAACAGTGAGACTGCATAATGGTTGCCATGGTAACTGAGATCACAATGGGAATGCACAATGATTGCCATGGTAAGTGACATCATTATGAGAATGCACAATGGTTGCCATGGTAACTGAAGTCACAATGAGAATGCACAATTGTTGCCATGGTAAGCGATATCACAATGAGAATACACAACAGATGCCATATTAACCGATATTACAGTGGGAGTGCACAGTGGTTGCCATGGTTGCTGAGTGATACTGAGAATCCACAATGGTTACCGTGGTAACCGAGGTCACAATGAGAATACACAATGGTTGCCATGGCAACCAAGGTCACAATGATACTGCACAATGGTTGCCATGGTAAGTGATGTCACAATGAGAATGCACAGTGATGTCTATGGTAAGTGATGTCACAATGAGAATGCACTATGGTTGCCATGGTAACCGAGGTCACAATGGGAATGCACAATGGTTTCCATGGCAAGTGACGTCACAATGGGAATGCACAATGGTTTCCATGGTAACCAAGTTAACAATGTGAATGCTCAGTGGTTGCCATGGTGTAAGGGGGTGCTTTTGATTTAGATGATCCATGGAGCAAAAAGGGGTGAAAAAGTGATTATATTCGCATGTGAACACAGCCAGAGTATTGTACAATGTGACTTTATTGCACAAGTTGTCTGTAAGGTCCATTGTGCCATTAGCAAAGTTAACTGGATGTCCCCCATTATCAGAGCTGAGCTCCTCCTTGGCTTGGCTCCACTCTGCAAGAGAGATACAAATCCCCTTGAAACACAATGGTACAGGTCGTCCATAGGGCTGAGGAAGGTGATGGAGAGGAAGATGATGTGGGCAGGGGTCGTTGGCCCCTTGCCCTACAGTGGGGCATGCCCAGACTGTTGCCATGAGGTGATGAACGGGCGCTGTTTGGCTGCCACTCAAGCACCACCTTCTGCTGCATCCTGGCCCTACGTAGTGTAATGTAGAGCTGATGGAATGGGGTGTCGGCACTGCTGGGTGGAGCGATGCTCATCCTTCCATCCACACTGTGCTGCTCCACGGGGACACCCGCCAAGCACGGGCACCGACCAGCCCTGCAGACCCTGGTAGGCCTGACCTGTCTGTGCAGGTGAGCACAGTTTATTGATAGGAAGCAACAAGAAAGCAAACATTTTATATCCTTTTCTTGTATCCTTTTAATTCCCTTTTTACTAACTAGTATTGTGTCCCTTTAAATCCCCTTTTACTCGCTAATACTGTAGTAGACGCTGTTCATAATATTGTATAAATGCCAATAGATAAAGTATTTTTTTTGTATTTTTTGTTAGCTTTTGATTCTCTTTGCTAATAGTTTTGTTTTTTACTCTCACTACAATAAAAGATATTTTGTAGTGTTTGAATGACTGTTGTACTTGTCTTTATTCTGGACATGTATCCTTGTGAACCTGGTACACATGGCATCTCAAGAAAGGCCCAGGGCACATGGGTGGGGCTCAACTGGGGGGATGTAGGGCACTGGTTCTTTGGTTGCCGATGTCCATAGTCGAATGGAGGGGGTATGCCATGACATCCCAAATGGGCACAGGGCCCATGGCTTGGGCTACACTGTGGCATGGGAGCTGTTGGTTCCTTGGTTTCCAGGCGCCACTGTGGAATGGAGAGGACAGGCTGTGAAATCAGAATGGGGCCCATGGCACATGGGTTGGGCTGTACTCTGGGGTGTGATGTGTTGGTTCTGTGGTTTCCAGGGGCCAATCCAGAACGGAGAGGATAGGCTGTGACATCACAAAGAGTCCCATGGCATACATGTTGGGCTGCATTCTTGGGGTATGAGGCATTAGTTCTTTGGTGTGCAGGGGCCATTCTGGAATAGAGATGAGTGGCAGTAAAATCACAACTAGGCCAATGGCAAAAAGGAAAGGCTGCAATGTGGGGGTGTGGTGCATTGGTTCTTTGGTTTTCAGGCATCATTTTGGAATGGAGAGGGTAGGCCATGACATCACAAAAGTAACCATGGAACCCTTTTGGGGCTGCAGTGAGGGGGTCTGCACTGCAGTTCCAGGAAGGAAAGCCCTGAGCCTCTGTCTCTCAAGTGCTGTTCTTGCGTCATGCTCGGTGCTACACAGAGAGCAAGAGCTTTCTGTGTGTGTGCACCTTTGGACTGGGAGGTATCTTAGACAATACTCAACCATAGACCTAACCTTAAAAACAAAATCTAAACCTAAATCTGACACTAAGCTCTAAACAATAACTGTAACCCTTCCCTTACTCTAACCAAAACATTACCTAAAACCAAACCCTAACCTAACCCTTACCCCTAACCCTAACCCTAAAACCTAAGCCTAACCCTAACCTTAAACCCTAACCCTAATGAAAGGGACATTGGTGACATCACTGGGGAGGAGTGACATCACAGGGGATTGGTGAAAACAAAGGGACAGCTGTGATATCACAGGCAATGGTGACATCACAGGGGACATGGTGACATCACAAGTACGTGGCTAACATCAAAGAGACATCAGTGACATCATTGGGGATATTGGTGACATCACAGGGGACACTGGTGACATCACAGGGACATGGGTGACATCATTGGCAACCAGTGACATCACAGGGGACTGTTGAAAACAAAGGGTCAGGTGTGATATCACAGGGAAATCAGTGACATCACAGGGGACATTGGTGATTTCACAAGTGCAGGGGTGACATCACAGGGACATGGGTGACATCACAGGGATCTGGTGATATCACAAAAATATCAGTAACATCACGGGGACAAAGGTACCGCTGCTTGGCACAGTGGTGACACCAGAGGGACAGCAAAAGAGGACAGCCGTGATGTCACAGAAACATCAGTGACATCAATGGGGTCTAGTGACATCACACGGACATTGTTGACATCACTGAGGACCAGTGACATCACAGGTGACTGATGAAAACAAGGGGACAACCGTGATGTCACTGGGAAATCATTAACATCACAGGGACATGGTGACACCGCTGGGGAGAGGGGTGACATCACAGGGACAGCAGTGACATCATTGTGGACCAGTGACATCACAGGGCACTGTTGAAAACAAAAGGATTGCTGTGATGTCTCAGGGGACATCGGTGACATAACAACAACACGGATGACATCACAGAGACACCAGTGACACCATCTAGGACACTGGTGACATCACAGGGGACAGTGGTGACATCATGGGGACAGTGGTGACATCACTGGGGACCAGTGACATCACAGGGGGATGGTGAAAATGAAAGGATGGCTGTGATGTCACAGGGAAATCAGTGACATCAAATAGGACATTGGTGACTTCCCAAGGGCGGGGGTGAAATTACAACAATGACATCATTGAGGATAGTGGTGACATCACAGGGGACAGTGGTGACATCACAGTGACATGGGTGACATCACTACAGACCAGTGACATCACAGGGGACTGCTGACAACAAAGGGAAAACAGTGATGTCAAATGGACATAGGTGACATCAAAGGGGACATGGGTGACTTCACAAGCACAAGGACGACATGACAGAGTCACCAGTGACATCACTGGAGACATTGTTGACATCACAGGGGACAGTGGTGACATCAGGGGGACATGAGTGATATCACTGGGGTCAGTGACATCACAGGGGACTGGTCACAAGAAAGGGACAGCTGTGATGTCACAGGGACATTGGTGAAATCACAGGGGTCTGTTGACATCACAGGGGCATCGGTCACATCACAGGGACCTGATGCCACCGGTGGGCACAGAGGTGGAATCAGAGGGACAGCAGTGACATCAGTGGAGACCAGTGAGGTCACAGGGGACAGGTGACAACAAAGGGACAGCCGTAAGGTCACAGGGACATTGGTGACATCACATGGGATGTAGGTGACTTCACAAATACAGAGGTGACATCACAGAGACACCATTTATATCATCGGGGACATTGCTGACATCACAAGGGCCAATGGTGACATCACAAAGGGCTGGTGACATTACAGAGACACTGGAGAAGTCACAGGGACAAGGTGCCATCGCTGACATCAGTGGTGGCATAAGAGGGACTGCAGTGATATCATTGGGGACCAGTGACATCACAGGGGACTAATGAGAACAAAAGTTAAGCCCTGTTTTCACAGGGACATTGGTGACATCACAGGGGACAACAGTGACTTCACAAGGACGGGGGTGACATCACAGAGACACCAGTGACATCATCTGGGACATTGCTGATATCACAGGGGACACTGGTGACATCACAGGGACATCAGTGAAATCACTGGGGAACAGTGAAATTACAGGGGCATGGTGAAAACAAAGGGACAGCAGTGATGCCACAGGGACATTGATGACATCACAGGGACAAGGGTGAAATCACAGAGACAGCAGTGACATCATTGAGGACCAGTGACATCACGGGGGACTGGTGAAAACAAAGGGACAGTCATGATGTCACAGGGATGTCAGTGAAGTCAAAGGTGTCTGGTGACATCACAGGGACATCGGTGACATCATGGGGACATGGTGCCACTGTTGGGGACAGTGGTGACATCACAGAGAAAGCAGTGACATCATTGGGGACCAGTGACATCACAGGGGACTGTTGACTAAAAAGAGAGAGCCCAGATGTCACAGGGACATCTGTGACATGACAGGGGACATCAGTGACATCACAAGGTCAGGTGTGACATCACAAAGACACCAGTGACATCATCGGGGTCATTGTTGACATGACAGGGGACAGTGGTGACATCACAGGGAGATGGGTGACATCACTCGGAACAAGTGACATCACAGAGGACTGTTGACAACAAAGGGACAGCCGTGATGTCAAAGGGACATCACTGACATCGGTGACATCACTGGGACATGGTGCCACGGCTCGGCACAGTGGTGACATCACAGAGACACCAGTGACATCAATGGGGTCATCTGTGACATCACAGGGGACATCAATGACTTCACAAGGCAAGGGGTGACATCACAGACACCAGTGATATTATTGGTGTCCCTGGTGACATCACAGGGGATAGTGGTGACATCCCAGGGACATGGGTCAAATCACTGGGGTCATTGGTGACTTCACAAAGACAGGGGTGACATCACAGTGACACCAGTGACATCATTGGGGACATGGGAGACATCAGAACCAACATGGGTGACATCACAAGGCCAGGTGTGACATCACAGAGACACCAGTGACATCATTGGTGGCATTGGTGACATCATAGCACATAGTGAAACAAGACAGGACTTTAGAAGGGTTAATCGAAACACCTTACTGTAAAAACCCACTTATCTCCCCCTTCCCCCTTTTCTGTATTGCTCAAAGGAAGACTATGTTCTGTACTAGTGCACCAGACCCTAAAAACCCACATTAAACACTGAACAAGGAGCTCAGTACCAATAAATCTTATCTAGAGGAGCCAGGCTAGACATTTGAATAGATAAAATAGGCCTGAAGCCAAGCCTTTTCTCATGCTCTACCGATCAGAGCATAGAACAATAGACAGAACAGAAGGTTACAAGGTCAATTGATGATGAAGAGGAAGATCAAGACCCTTTGACGAAGTAAAGAGTGGATGTACCCCAAATTATTCCTCAAAAATGAAGACTACTGTTGCCTAAATGGCTGTGGGGAAAAAAAGACTCCAAGCCAAATTAGGTAGGAGATAAGATAAGGATACAAAAGTTTTAATGAGCCCCCAGGCTTTCTGGAATACCCTCAGCGCGCTCCCGAAATACAGATGTCCACAGTTTTTATAATGATTTTCACCCAATCCAGTCCAGCTACCACCCAGGTTCTGCCCCTGCCATGCCTCTTGGGAATTGGGTCTGGGGGCGTTTTGGGACCCCCTCTTCTTCATCTTCATCTTCCTCAGAGCACGTAATGTCCTTGGAGGCCTTCCAGAATTCTAGGCCTGAAGGTTGTTGGGTCTATGGCTATATCTTGTTCCCTAGGGTTAGGGTGTTCTTCTACAATTCTACCTTGAAAAAGAGACTAAACAGGCTCTGGAATTTAGGGAATTGATATGGGAATGGGTAACAGGGGTTTGAGCTGGTGTGTTAAGATTAAAGGGATAATATGCTGCTACTCTAAAATCTACATTTACTACATAACTACTTCTAAGGTCTACAAAAATAAAAAA